ATGTATATTGGGATGTATGTATGCATCTGTCTGTCTGTCTGTCTGTCTGTCTGTCTGTCTGTCTGTCTGTCTCTGTCTGTCTGTCTGTCTCTGTCTGTCTGTCTGTCTGTCTGTCTGTCTGTCTGTATGCATTTGCGGATGTTTTGTGAAGTTTTGTGTGGATGCATGCACATGTATGTGTATATTGATATGTGTATATATATATATATATATATAGAGACACAAACTCAAAGATTGCACAATGACTGCGTCATCTCTTGCGACGTTGCAGGAATCCTCCCACAGGAGATCTAACGGTTTTCTCCTGTCATAGTCCGGGCTGCATGCCTGCGATCTCGCCTGCGTCCTTCGTTGCTTGGCGCTGGGCGTCATTGAAGTACGCTGGGACTGTGATCACAGCATCCTTGACCTTCGCCGACTGACATCTGAATGTGGCAGGAACTCACAATGCACAGCATGTCGTTCCTTGCATACTGTCTCTGCTTTTTCCGTCGCCTCTACGCGAAAACTGTGGGAGTGCCCAACCTCTGTCGATAACCCGGAAAACAACGACGACACTTCTCGAGTTCAACAGCGTGGGTGTCCATGGTGACAGAGAAACTGTGCATAATTACTGCGGCCACAGCTGCGCGATGTCCAAGGTATGCCTGTCAAGGGTATCTGAAGCAGATGCGCCTAACAATCGGCAGTGCTCATTTCAGTTCTCTCCGTCTCAGGCCGCACACTTGTCGCCAAACGCTTTGCGGAGCATTTCTAAGCGGGAACAGGAGTGCCACGACCGACAAGTCTGCTTCCCCATCCTTTTAATAGACATGCCTCAGCCGTCGTCTTCATTTTCGTGAGGATCATAGAGCTAATCTCTTCTGGATGATACTTCTTCACGACATTCTGGTAAAGCACTTCCTTGGCATCACGCGCTTCGCATGTGCTTCGATATTGGACAGGTACATCGAGAGACACGCTGGCTAGATAGGCTTACCAGAACGATATACTATGTCATCATCATGTAGGTTGCGCAGATCTATATCAATCTCACTGTGTATATTTAGATATGTAGAAAGCAGTCGATGAGGAGTGTTTGCGTGTGTGTGTGTGTGCGCGTTTTCCTCTGCGGCCCGAAAACTTAAAACTGAACATCCGCAAGCCAAATCCCCGAAGTGCCGGAAAGTCCTGAACCCTAAACCCTAAGCCCTAAACCCTGAAGGCTTGGCTGGAGACCCTGCCGGAGGCTCTATCAACGGCTTGTCGTCCTTCGTGCCGTCGGAGACCACTCTGAAAGGCCAGAGCTTTAGGTCGGCCTGCCAGAAAAAGGCAGAAGCCAAGAAGTCCTGTGTTGGGTGCGGTCTGTGGCAAGCTCTCAGTGGAAGTAGTCGTTATCAGGCTGAAATCGAAACGGAAGACATCGGGAAGGTGCAAAGAGGTGGAAGGAGTCCTAGGGCTGGCAGACCAGGTTCTGAGTCTTGATGGACAATGCAAGGCGTTTCCGGCAACCCCGGCTCTTAGACTGTGCTGGGGGCTTTCGACATGCTCACTCGGCCTATGATTGCAAGCCCACCTGCACGATCGGATCATCGAAGCGCCTTCCGATCAAACGCTTGGCATCGAAGACAGTGTTGGTCGGATTGCTGGCCACCTGAAGTTCCGGCGGAGGCTTCATGCCGCTCTGGGAAAATGCATAAGCAGCAACAGCCAACACCCAAAACTGCTCAAGTTGAAATCACCAACCACCCTGAACCCGACACATCTACACCCTACACCCCTGGTGAAAGAAGCACCTGGTTCTTGGCTGCATCTCCCAAGAGCCGCTCCTGAAGCCGTAGGCTGGGATTGCTGAGATTTAGCGGTTGTTCGGGTATGTTTCAGCGCTCACACTCGCACAATCCACGCGAGGCAAATGACAACAAGTCCGCAGCAACGAATAGTGAGACGACGCATGGCACTTCGTGAGAGACAGAACCACAACACCTGCCCCATGGGTATTTTTTGCCGCCCACCTAGCTAGGACAAGCCCACATGGCAGGGTTCAGTCGGGAGAGATGTTTCGACTCACGCACTCGCCCTCGGCCGGTATGGGGTTATAGAGGGTCAGAGTTTGGCGCTTTGGTAACCGGCTTTAGTACATGAAACCTGTATCCGGAAAAGCTGGGTTCTTGTTAAGGGATTTAATTTAAGTTACCATAATAAGGAAACCATATTATGTACTATAGATCCCTATTATGGTAACTTAAATTAAATCCCTTAACAAGAACCCAGAAAGGCAACTGTCTCGTTGCTTGTCTCGCACCAGCTCCTTAGTCCTGTTTCAACCGACCCATGACATCGGTGCCCCAGGCCCCTTCCGTGGTCCTGTTCTGTCCACGCGACATAAGACGGTGTGGTGCGGTTGCCCTGGTCATTCCTGAGCTCCCATCCAGGATTAAGTTTAGGGCGTATGATCTTCAGCGTCGATTTACTTCTTTTTTTGGGATGGTATCTCGGCATTGCTATGTCATCAAGGGGTTCACGGACATGGTTGGAGCGGGCAGCTTTCCGAAGGGGACTTACAGGCGCGGCATCGCGTTGGACAGAAATCCATGAGGGCTGGGTTCTCGGATGTCGTGATGGAAGATAAGCCTTGACCTCCTTGACGCCATGAGGTCGTGAGCACAGTGAGCTTCACTGCCCTCCCTGCTGCCGATACCAGTCACAACCACGTACATGGAATCAATAACCACACGATTTGCAGGAAGCAGTGTGGCAACACCCTTACTGTGACGTCGTGCCACACTCAACCACCATCCCTGAAATGTTGCAGAGTTTACAGTCGAAGAAGCACGGCACATTGAAGGGGTCTTCACCAACCGCGTTCAAAGCCAAAGCTCGCAATGATCTGCACCTCTCCATCTTTGTAGACCTGGGCATGCTGCAGACTCCGGCCGGATTCTTGACAAGGGCATAGCGATGAAAGGCTGGGCTACCCCATACCCGGCGGCCGGAAGGAAGGCATGGAACCATGTGGAAGGGACGGTGCTGACCCGACGCTGTATTATGCACGACCAGCCCAAAGACCGGACATAAGCACTGTGGCCATAAATTGCGTGTTGAAACGACTGTCTTCAGGAACATGACCACAAAGCCCGTGACATCCCCCGTCCTTACATAAGCCAGTCATCGAGCTCCAGGACCTTTCACCGCAACTCCTACAGCCTCTATTTACTCTATTTTCTTGTGTCAAAGGCCACTCCTAGAAGCCGCAAATATTCCGGCAGGAGTCTCCAACACAGGAGTACGTGGTACCCAGATCAATGCCCACTGCGTGAGTCTTCGCATCCTCTTCTGACGCAGGCTGCATGGCTCGGGAGGGCGCAAGCAAGCTTAAGTAAACCGCACGAGCATGTTCAACTTGCATGGATAAAAAAAGAATCATGCACTAGTGCGGAGGCCACGCATGAAACAATCTGAGGTTCTTGGGGGGTTCCTGTGATTGCCTTCGGATTTTTTCGGAAAGCTGCGACTCGGCAACGACGATTCCGGTGCCGGAAGTTTCCAGTTGCTAGACTGCGCTAGCTGCTGGCTTTGGGCCGTGCCAAAATTTCAGCTCCAAGCTCACTCATCTAGGGGTCTGAAGAATTACTATTAGCCCTTCACCTTCTCGTCTCTGTAGATCATGGCCCCCCCAAATCTGGTCATGGTCCCAGCTTTGAACCAAGAGGCTTCCAGGATCTGGCTGATCTGCATAATATATAGGGGCCCCCATAATTAGAAAAGGGTTTTTGGGGGATCATTACACTCTATTTGTTTTAAGGAGCCCCCAAAATAATATTGGTAATTGAGGCCCCTATATTCGCTTGGAAATATTAAGATTGAGGACTGGGGATTCTTTCGCCTCCTACATGCGATCCGTCATGCGGACTGTCACGAATCGAGGCAGGAATGAATCCGAGTCAGCCATCACTGGGGCATAAGGGTTCTGGCTAAGGATGCATCTATACCGGTGATATTACGACGCTCATGCTGGCAGATATAGATGCTGCCCTCTTTTCAGCACATCAGGCTTCAAGATAGCTTCGAGTCAGAATCTTCAGTTCTAGACCCCTCAATTCTGGACCCCACCGATGAAGGGCCACCGCAATCTCGTTCCTTGGACAGCCAGGCTGTTCTAGCAAGTAAGCAGCATCGGTCTGGATCTGGCATTGCACAGAAAGCCGTGGCAATCAATGAGCGAGCTGCCGGCGATTCAGAATCTCTTGCTGCATTTCCAGGTGTTGTGCCTCGGCATGTCGCTTCTTCCCATCTTACCCCTCTTCTCATTCACTCTTCAAAGACATGTCAAACCTACACGTGCAGATTCGGAAGCTCAGGTCGGTTATCTCAGGTTGCTGTCGGCATAACGTCAAAAGATGCGCAACTTCAGCACATCAGGCGAGAGCGTCCCTCCTCAAAGGCTGGAGCGCTACTTTGACTTGATTTCAGCCCTCCCCCCATCGGCCTACCGGATAATCTACATATGGGGGGTTTCAGACAACAGGGGACCCTAATGTAATACCCTAAATAGTAGGATCCTTATTATAAGGACCCCCAAATAGGGTACCCTCATTTTCTGAAACTCCCATATGTCCAAGACCAATCCCTCAACCCGAAGGCTGAGCTGCTTGACCCTAAACCCTAAACCCTAAACCCTAAATGCCACGACTACCAGGCTTCCGGGTGTTGCACAGCGGAAGGTTCGGGGTTCGGACCTTTCAAGCGCCCTTTTTCACCACCGGCTTGGGTTCTGTTGCAAATACCCTTTCGAACGAAGTCTCTCTGAAGTGCCTCCCGACGATCCTAAACACTAAACCCTAAAATCCCTAATTGCTTCGTCGATGAGAAGACCTGCCCGGGAGCTCGGCTCTGCTTTGTCGAGGGCTCCTGCACAAGAAATCCGGGCCATTCACAGTCTTTAGGGTACCATGCATGGGGTACGGTTAGGCTTTCTTTAGAGCATTATACTGCTATAAGATGTACTATAAGGGTTGAGGGAAGCAGCACAAGCACCGGCACCACCACCGACTACTACCGCTATCCGACACAACCACCACTTCCGCCTTCAGCCGCTGCCTCCACAAACGCGCTTGACACGGCTACGATTACGACAACCTAACCAGCAACACTTGCTACCACCACCGCCGCCGCCACCGTGGCAACTGCTTCTAGCAACTGCCAGCAATACTCCCACACTCCACTGCTACATAACTTGACAAGTACTACGACAACAGCCACTACTTATGCCGTTGTTTGGGAGTTCGCGCGCTTAAATTCGTTGCAACTTCTGTTTTTCGCTACCTCTGGAAGCTGCTGGCCAACACTACATGAATCACGCGATCATCCTAATCTCCGGCCAACACGGAGAGCCCGCGGTCCTAACTCCTAACATGATTTGAACACTTTCTGAACCGGCACGCATCCAGCAGCGTGTGCGATGTCGTGCAGAAGAAATCACTCCCCAGCTCAGTTGCAGCGCAAGCTCCTTCTCGTCTGCTTCCGTCTGGGCTTGGCCATCCGGCGGACCGGCCTGACGAGGTGAATTGACTTCACATAGCACTTGGGTGAAGTTTGTGGAATCCATGCAATATCAGCAGAAGGCCAACAAAAACTCGCAGCACCTGACACCTCAAAATGGATTTGACAAGGACACTATAACGACACTCCAAAGGCGCGCAGTCTCAGTGTCATCTGAGGAGACACGGGGCAGCGGGCCTTTCGCTCTCTCCTCCTCTGCCTCCTGCGTCGACATGCAGACATGCTGGAAGACAAACAAAATCGTGCAAATCTGCCTCACGTGCTCCGTGTCAGATACACTTTGCATGTTCAAACACCTCACGAATCAAAGACCTTGAAGTATATTAAGATGCATGGGTGGCATATACCGGCTCGCATGCACTATTTTTTTTTTGCAAGCGCAGGGCCCAAAGTAGGTCAGAGCGTAGTATTGGGAGACAAGATGGTCCGTTCGCGAGGTCATTGCATGCGATGCCGGCCAACCTGGAAACGATCCTGAGAAATCTTGGTTCGGCGAGGCCGGTTCCGACATCGTTGCGGGAGCCTAAACGTCGCATGCGGTTACCAGGTTTCAAACCCCATTCCGGGCAGAAGCCAGACGGCAACACCAAATACAACTGCATCTTCAAGGCAACCCACCCCAGAGACCCCAAGACACTATCCCTGAACCGCAAACCAAAACCCCCAGTTCAGTACCTCAAAGCTGGGGCCCCCGACCCTTTTGTCGCGTGTATGCTCCACGGCTCTCTCTTTTACATCTGGACTTGATGAATGCCAGCACCCCACTGAGCGCAGGACCAAGGACTCTGCCGAGGCTCTCTCTACAGCCCAAACCCTGACAGAAAAACCCCATGCCCTGACCTCGACATCCCACCCTGAGGTCAACTGTCGCCCTAGAGTCCCGAGTCCCGGGTCCTTGTCCTGCCGGGAGCCTCCTCTGGCTCCTGGCAGAAACCGGTTTGGGCTTGGGGACACACTTGAAAATCATAGTGTCCCAAAGCGCACGACAGGTCTGTGATCATAGAAGTGGACAGAGATGTACATCGAAGTTTAATAAATGCATAACACCAAAAACAGACAAACACGTGAGCACATACATACGTGCAACCAACGCATAACAATCAAGTGAGCAAACACATAAACACCTGCCACACTCATAAATAAACTAAGTAAACAAACATGTGTATATATATATATATATCAGTGACTAGCTATAGAAGTAGTTGTTTATTTCTGGTTAGACTGGTATCTGTGCTTATACAAATGGTCTCAAATGGTTATTCACTTATACTTACGCCTTTGTTTTCCATGCATCTACACATACTCATTCCCATTTGGGAGCCTATGTGTACATGCAAGTATGTACAGGCATTAATACATTTCTCAGGGTACATAGCACACATTAGCACACGCAAAAAACACCATGGTTCAGGGGGCTCAGGGAGAGCTCAGGACGGGATAGCTCTTGGGAGCAATGGCAATGTGGAACATGGAAGTGATTCCCCGAAGCCCTAAACGGCCCCAAACCGATAGTCTATGGCCTGACATGTGGGTGGTTGTCAACATTATGGCCCCTTTTTGGGTCCTTATTATAATCCGGCACCTATTATTTAGGGTACCCAACAGGGACCATAATTTTGACAACTACCCATGTGATCACAGCTGGCACAACAGGATGGCCCAGTCTAGGGCCTACTCTGAGCACACTAAGAGGCCTGGGGGTGCCCGGCAACTGCTCAGGACTCGGGCAACTCGGAAGATGCCATACAGTAGCACAGGGTTTAAGATTTCGGATTTTAGGAAAAAGGCACCGGCCCCAAAAAAAACTACGAGTTCTTCTCCCCGTGCCTACTCGTGCACAACGGTGTGCGCGATTGATTTCAATTAGCATTGATGCAGCGGTTGGGGCCAGTGGGACAAAGTCACTTGGTCAGACGGGGGTGGGGGCGCTACAACATGTCACAACTCTTGCGAGGGTTGACAAAATTCGCATGTAAGCAACATTAGGCATGGATGTGTGCAAGTCCCACCTTCTTCCCCTCGTGCATGTTGCCTCGGATCTGTCAGGCACTAAGGTCGCGAAGGCTTGAGCATGGGTGGTTTGTGCACAGAACTCTAAACCCCGGAGTCACCCTAGGTTCAAGCGAAGCTACGACTACGATCGTTCTGTCGGCGACCAGCTCGGCCGTCTCGCTTGTCCGGGCCCTGGCGGTCCTGGCACAGAGCAGCCGGGAGAACCAGCCGGAAAGGATAGTGAGGCTTCGGTCGTCGTCGTCCTAGTGGTCGTCGTTGTTGCCAGACTGCAGTCGTGGCAATAGTAGTCGGGCCTCCCGGTAGGGCTGGACGAACACTTTCAAGATCCTCTACAAGGTTTTCCGAGCTGTGCTTTGGCGCCGTGGAGCTTGGACGCATCTCGGAAGGCGAAGCGGGTGAGTGAGTGAAAAAACATAAAAACACAATTACGATTATGCCAGGATAGATCGCCCAAACAATGATAGAGTGCCACGATGACCCGGATAAAGAGACCACCAAAAGACCACCGAGGCATCAGCAAGGAGACACCAGCAAACAACCGAGAGATTACCAGGACACCACACGGCCAAAGTGCGTGCTACCTGCGAGATTCACAGATGCGAGCATGATTTGATACGTCCCTAAACCAACTGGCGGAACTCGGACATTCCGAGGCCAATATGAGGATGGGCCCGACGGATCCCGGGAGCGCGTGCCGGGGGAAGCTCGTGTCACTCCCGGCTCGCGCACACACTCACCTCTTTTCCTGAAACAATTAGCGTAAGGAGTAAATGGCCCCATGTAGTGTGTCCCATACGGCTCGGGAGCTGTCCTCCTGCCGGTGCTGGCGATTCATTCCTCCTTTCTCTCCCCGCTGCCTCACCTGCAAGTCAGGAAACATTCGACGAGTACCAGGCTCTGCTTTCCCAGATGAGGTGCTGAAGGATACTACCACCGCACCGTGGTGCAGGTACGTCAGATGAACGCGGAAAAGGAAACCCGCGCACTGGACACGTGTCTTTTCTATTTGTTCCGCGCTAACAAAGCCAGCCAGCATCCAAGACTCACAGGGAACGGGCCTTTTTACGCCTTCAAAAACACGGCATCTACGCAATACAGTGTGTCGGGAAACACGAGACAAACTGTAATTATGCTCACGGTTGCTGAATACGATGGCTCCTTGCTGCTACAAGCAGAAGCCGTGTCATGTAAAGTGCTGTGTCCAACGCACTGCACGTTTCCCGCACTGAGCAGCTGGCAACATGCCTTTAAATCGAACGCGGCTGCAACTGAGATGAACCAAGAAGTAGCCATTACCGAGTTCCAAACATCCATAGCAACATTTGGCACGATTGGGCGAGATTGTACGGCTGTGCTGTATCAGTCTTTCATACTCTATACTCTCCTACGAACAGAAGATCTCATGCCTGCGATGGAGCTTTGCGATTTCGAGCCGTGCCGTACCAGTATGCTAGGTTAGGGGCCATGAATGCCCAGCGCGATGGAAAGTACAGCTTCTGCACACAAGTGCTTGGAAGTCCCAGGGCTCTCTGCAAGAAGTCCTGCACACACTTGCCAGAAAACTGCCTTAACCAGTCATACTGACAAATGGCACATCCACTTGCTGATATTTTAAGCTGCGTGCTCCCCTTATGTCCCCCCGTAGGCGAACAAGGGCGATCTCATCCATGATTGCCTTCTGAAATATCTCCAGTACAGTACACGGGTAGTTGCAGAGTTCCCCGACCCGTCTCCAACCGCCACAAGAGCTGGCTCAGCGCTTGGTCATGAGGTACAAGACGGAGGTGCAAACCTCAAGGACGAGTTTACATGTTTGGTGCGATCATGCGAATCGGTCGGAATTGTTGTTGGACCCTGGCAAAAAAGAAACACCGAAGGCACACCAAAGGTCTGTGACACTGTTGCTTGGAGATCTTGCTAGCGAGTTCTTGATCCGCAACCCCAATGAAGTGCTTACCCCAACCCGACCTGGCCACGGGCACTAAGTTGTCGCGACACCTCTTGTGGCAGCAAGCTGTTGTTGCAAGCACTGTCAATTCTCTAGTTCGGGGTTCGGGGTTCTTCTTGCTGCAGGCTGCGAAGATCATGATGCCCCAGCCGGTGTTGTGGTAATTGATGTGCCTGTGAAAGCGAGGACGCACAGCAAACTTCTCAGCATTGCGGTGGCTGCACAAACAGCCTGCCTTCTGTACCGTGGGGTCACCTTCCGCTACGGGTACCAAAATATGAGCATCATGCTCAAGGGCAGTTCTGTCAACACTGAGCAGAGAGCTCCATCATCATGAGCTTCAGAACGGAAGCTTCTTGACCCGAATCAAAAAAAGGAGACAACTGAATCTCAGTTGAGTGATAAGCCCTGCACCATCTTTGAAGTCGCGAGCCCTACATCCGATTCTTGCTCGCCCAGGTGCATCTCAGCCACTGGGGATGCCGGGTCGTGCCCACCCCAGTCCATCCTCCACGGCCAGCCTTCATAGCAGGAATGGTAGGGTGAAGGGCCTGTGTCGACTGATATGACAAGCATGTTCTGTACTATGTGTTGCTGGTACTCATAATAACAACAGCGACAACTACAATAACACTAGAAGTTCATGTTGCTGTTACTTCTGTTGCTCATAACGCATCTTTCGATCTTTTGAAATCCTCAGTGCTGTACAGAGCTGAAATTCCCGCAGCAGCTTCTGAGCCGTGAGGCCAACATCAGCGCGCATTGGAGCCATGGCAGCAAAGGGCAGCCTGCGGCCGACGTCTGTTTGGTAGTTAGTGGTCAGACGATACGTCCACTCCTCAAATCAAGCACCTTTACCACACTCGCCAAAGCAAGCAGGCCCTGCCCGACGTTCAAATCCAAGTTTTTGCCGATGCGGGTTTTTCTCGGGATATCAGAGAATGATCTACTTGGTGCGGCGGAAGGGGCGGAAGACCCAAGCGGCGTGCGCGGATGTTTGCGAGCAGCCCGGATGGCGACCTCGGCCACCCACGAGTCAGCGAAGTTGGAACTCGGAGCAAGGGCTGCCAGGGTGCCCAACTCATGCAAATGGAGGCAGGTGCTTGGTGCTTGACAGAACACTGCATGATACTGCATGATTGCTGTCCTCCACTGATGTCTTCGAGAAGACCCGGGAAGTGCCAGAACCCACTTCCCAAGCACAACATTGTAGATTTCGACCTGAAGTGGGCGGTCTGGGACAAGTCCCAGTGGCTGCCGCGCCAGCTGCATCTGCAAGGCGGAGGGGCTGCGCTTCTCGTCTGCCATGCTCCTGGGCTGGAAAGCACAAGTAGAAGCTCATATTCACCAACTATCGAAATTGTACCTCCCCCCTCTCCGATTCCCAAACGCGCATCCACGGAAAAGTATCTAACAAAGGGCACCTTGCAAGCGGAGAATGCTAGGGCACTATTCAGCCTCGGCCCTTCCCCGAACAGCTTGGAGCCAGCTCTCAAGGGTTTCCATGCCCTGGGGGGGTTGAGAAATCACGAGTCATAAGTTGTAGAGCCTAAGGGCTTATAGGGCTTATCAAGTTTGGGTCTCTGATTGGAATTCGAACCTGCTATACCTATCTGCATGAAACTCGTTCAATAGACTACAGTGTGCCAAATTCCTGGAAAGCTCGGTGCTGCTATGCCCAATCGCTCGGAGCTTCTGCCTGGGCCTAAAAAAGGTGAACACAGGTGCAGATCTTTATCAAGAAAGGCCTGCTCTGTACGGATCTTGGGACCGCAACCTTGGCCTTCAGAAACCTCTTCGTCCTTTGGCAAAGCAGCTAGGAAGAAGGGGTAAGGCTCACTGAATGCATGCTTAACTTGGTGAAAGGGGGCAGGGGTGGCAGATTCAAGCATGACAAATTGAGGCACTTGAGCCTCAGAAACAACTCCAGCCCTTTGGAACTGTTGCAGCCCCGGCCACGTGCAGTAGAGGCCGCGAAGCTGGCTTTTCAAGAGCCACGTAGAGCCGAGATGTGCTGAACAGGCCGGGGTTGTAGTGCTGGTTGTTCGGAATTGCATTTCTGGAGGCTGGTGCGCAGTGAAAGGATCGTGTGGACCTAGCTACTAGCAGCTACTAGCAATTATGACAATCGATGCAGCACGGCGGTTGAAGAGATTGCATTGAAAGCATTCTGGCCAGCTTCCCATCGTCAATGCAAGCTCGCTTGTCAGCCCCTGCAGGCACACGGTCCACTGCAGGCGTAAGCTTTAGTTTCCAAGACCAGTCCCCGAAAATGCCAACCCTACCTAGGTTCTTGAGCTCGACACTCTGCACACCCATAGAAGTGGTAAGCTGCAGAGTCCATGGATGCTGCATCCGAAAACTGGATATAAAACGGGTTGAAGCCGCTAAACCCTGAACCCTAAACCCTACAGGAGATGCCCTGTCAAGCTCGAGCTCTCAACTCTGCGATGGAAGCCCTCAAGTCGGGAAACACCGCCCGACTCCGCGTTCCCAAAGCTCTGGACACCAGAACCAAGAAACAACAACCCTGTGTTTCCTCGCCTCGGCTTGACGCGGGCGCCGGTCCTTGGCTTCAGTTTGCTTCTGCTTGTTATCAGGGGTTTAGGGTGTAGGGTTTAGGGTTATTTTGGCTTCCATAGCGCCTGCAGTGCTTGACTATTCCTTGCATCTGACCAAGCGCACATGCTGACAGGTAAACCGAACATCTGATACTGTAGACCATTGAGGCCATGTGTAAGCAGTTGGGGCAGGGCAGATCGCGGATGCCTTTTTCCATCGCAGCTGACTCCGAGTAGCTCCTACCATCGTGTCTGAAGTTACCAAGCGATCGGGAAGATGCTGACCAACAAGCCGCAAGAGTTGAATTCCTGAAAAGTTACAAACAGCCTGGGGCCTATTGGGGGCATCTGTGTAAACTACCAGCTGAAAGGTCATGCGAGTCAACTAATCAGTGACCACCGTTTCTCTCTCTCTAGCTATGACTTGACAAAGACCCGCTGCTCAAGGAAAGCAACGAGCCAGCTCCACCTGCCTTCAGCACGGAATAGATCTTTCAGAATCCTTTCAGCATATTTCTTACGATCCTTTTGCATACTGTTTTGCCCCTGGGGCATCTTCTGGAGGCAGGCCGAGGGGGCGGTAGATCAAAATGCTCAGGCACTCAGCGCTTCGTCATGAGGTACAGGACAGAGGTGCAGACCTTCGGGCTTTCTGATCTCGTCTGACCGATGCTTCAAACCGATTTCTGTTACCCCTGTGGAAACGGCATACTCAATAGTATGAAGGCGAGGCGGGATTCTGCAATGTACCCCGAAACGCTTGCGGTAAATCGCCGGAGGTTGCACACGCCTTGCTGCTGCGGAGCCGGGTACAGGTTTTTAGGTATGACGATTAGGGGACGCAGCCTTCATAGGGCTAAGACTTGGATGAGGTTTCCAACTCGCACGACGACAGAGCTTTCACAAATCCGCGGGAGGAGACAGGATTGAGTTTGAAGCCGGCAATTCGCATGCATGGGTCCTGTGGGCTCCTCCCCACTCTCGAACGATGCCATGGAGAAACAAGCAACCTACGAGCCAGTCGGCCAAGCACAGCTTCTTTGTATCGCTGCCCGGATGATAGTCGTGGTGGTGACCATGGTACGCACGAGAATGACGAAGAGCAGGAAGCGGAAGATTCGGACTACTGCCCTCAAGCGTTCAGAAAGCATGCGCTACGTTGTGGAATTCTCGAGCATGAGAACCATAAAACTCAATATAGTACGTGACTCTCCTACCACTCCTGCTCCTCCTCCCACTCCTCCTCCGCATCCTCTCCTGCGTCGGCCACTTCTTGTTTATGTGCCAGGATCTTCAGGCCTGCAACCACAGCAGGGTGTGTGAACCCGGTCCAAGCGGCGAAAATCATGATGCCCCAGCCAGTGTTGTGGTAGTTGATGTGCCTCAGCAGGCATGCTAAATCCAAACCCGCACATCCCAAAAGCCTAGGCGAAACAAGTCCGACAAGAAAGCAAGACCTGATGCTGAAGCTGTGAAGGCACGATGGGAGAATGGCATCGGGCTAGAAACTAACTACATGGCTCAGAAGCACATTAGTAAAGCTGCAGCCTACTCCAGAATCCCCACCCGGTGCATCAGGAATGTCAAGTTCCCTAGCACTACTTTCTCCCTGACAAGCCTGAACCCGGAATGTTGTAGAAGCGGGACTCTGCAATCCTGAACCCTTTGCCCAAAACCCTCAATCTGCATATTGCTCAAAACATCCAACTCTCTGCGTTAAGGCAAGCAATAATTAGGAAGAGCATGTCAAGAAATCAGACCCAGTCCCACCCTGCGGCCTACTCTAACTCTTAGACCCTGTCAAGGCACATCTCTGCCACAGGAGACGCTGGGTCGTGGCCACCCCAATCCATGCGCCAAGGCCAGCCTAAACAAAGGAAGTCTCTCTGATTGCAAACTTATAGGTTCGTAGTTTTAGTCTGTTGAAAAGGAGCCTGCAGCGGGACAATAAAATGCTGGTTTCCAGGCCGGTTCGTGCTGCGCTGCTGAAACGCAGTGTTCTGATTTGCTGCTAATGCGGCCAACGTCGGCACGCAGCGGAGCAGCGGCTGCGAAAGGAAGCCTTCGCTGCTCGGCACTCCACAACAGCTGCATGAGTCTTGCAACTTTTCGGTGTTCACATGCAGCTCTCGAGATTTCGATATCGATGCAGGCTATACTTAAATATTTTCACAGACCAAAGGAAAAAGATGCGGATGCCCTGCAGTCAAGCAGCGGGAGCCCCAATCTACGGGCGCGGAGGTTTGCCAAAACCCCAGACGGCGACCTGAGCAGACGGAAGGAAAGGGATGGGGAAGTCGAGCCCATGAACTATCAAGGGAAGCATCTTGCCCGGGGTGCCTGGCGTGAACTTGAATGGCAACCATGCGTTCAGCCAAGAGTCTGCCGAGCCAGCTGCATCTGAAGGGCTGAGGTGCGCTGTTCTTCTGCCATGGCCTGACAAACATTCACTCTTCCAGGGCAGGGCCTGGAGAGATTCGACTGTCAACAGGCTACAGTACAAACTCGCAGCAGGATCGGCGGATCATGCTCAAAGCCACCATGCACAGAGTGAGCTTTGGTCGTGCAGCGTTCTGGCTCCAGCTCTCAAGCCGAAGGTAAGTATCGTCGGTAAGCAAAATACGGGGCAGACAGCTGTACTGGATTTTTGGGGGTATTCCTCACTGTTGCTCCAACTATTGTGGAGCCCGACCCTTTTTCTGCCGAGGCTCGCTGCGCGTCGAGGGCCAAACGCAAAGCCGGGGCGAGACAAGACAAGCGGATGGAGCCAAGACGCTGCTCTGAAGATTGAATACGACAGTCGTAGCCGTCACTTGTCTCACTCGAAATGCCAATGTAGCCACATTAAAACCCTATAGACCAATACCATATATCTAAATACCCTAAATTAAACTTGAAGTTTTCACAATGGTAAAGGTCTTTGAGCCCTACACACCTGCACTCCAAGACCGTACCCGACAAAGAGCTAGAGCTTGTTGAGCTCCGCACTTCTGGTCCTCGACGGTCTCTGTCCTGGAGGCGCTAATTCCTAAACCCTTAAAAACGCCACTAAACCCCTCGAGCAGGGAACGATGCTTGTGCAACGGGAATCCGAGTTTGGGGATAGGGGGAGCCCTTGGGTTCAGGCGTGTAGCTGCGCCTGATACGAGGGGTTAGAGACTGTGACCAGCGATGGGGGATAGATTCGACAATTCCATACTTTCATACCTACACACGGCTAGGAAGTCAGACTTGAGGGCGAGCATCATCGTAGTTGTGAAACACTCTGCCGGTCCCTCCTTCGTATATACCGGCCAGCAAAAGTTGCTGAACGAAGTCTGAAGTCTGAACCCGCATCCTTTCTCACCTCTCAAACCCCAAGCCCTAACCCTACTAGTTGCCCCTCCTCATGGGTGCCCTTGCTCCAGCCGTACCACTCTGGCCCAACCTTGGCAAAACTCAGGCTCTCCAGGAAACCACCATGCCGAGCCACGCCTGTTCGGGTTGTCCGTAAAAGCAGTCGTGATTGGGCGATGGCGACGGGTGATCATGTAAATAAGACGATTCAGAGCACCTGAAAAGCCAGCAGAAGCCTTTGACTCAGTCTCTCTTGCAGCTGTACACTGTACAGGTGCGCAATGCAAAGACGCCTCGGGAAGCATGTTGCTGATTGGCATCCGCGTGGATGTACTGCCCCAGTTGATGTATGGCTAAAAGTATTCACGTCCTGTCTATCTCCGGTTTGTGTCAGAAGACCGGGGGAACATCCAAACACGTTTCCAGCGATTGCATGCGAAGGACCGATCCAGTTGCTCAGATCACTGTAGTCCACTGCAGTCCCAACGGAAAAATCGGACGCTGGGAGACTGTCTGCCATCCCAGAATCGAGTCAACTACACGGTGTCTTTATGCAGGTTGCAAAAGCCCACTGCTCATTGGGCACGAGGCCATCTTTGTAGCGGCCAAAGTTCAGACGCTCGTCTCCGAAGACCTGCAGAGAGGCGGGGCAGCATTTAGGGTTTTGGGTGCATGAGCCGGTCATAAAGGATGCAAGACGGAAAATCGGCAACTTTCGCAGCCGACCGAACCCTACAGTACACCCTCCGTGCACGCCTCTGCCCGCTGGACTCATGAGTCCTGGACCGCCCGTAGTTGCCCCAACCCCTGCATGCCCTGATGCCGATGCCAAACTCGGCAGAGGCACGTGCAGCTCAAGATCCTTCCAGCCGTTGGTCTCCTTTGTGACCACACCGAGACCGAGTTCAGGATACATGATCGTCTGTCGAACAACTGAGGATTCAGAATTCCTATATGTCTGTGTGTGCATATGTCTATACATATGCTATCTACATCTGCTCTCTCTCTCTCTCTATATATATATATGTGTGTGTGTGTGTGTATGCGGGTGCATGTGTGTTTGTGTGCATGTACTCGTATAAGTTTATGTGTATGCATATGTTTATGTAACGGTAGTATATGTGCACATACATGTCTGCATGCATACACACATGCATATATATATATATATATATGTATACACATACACTGCCGATTGCCTCCTTGCCACCCTACAACTGCTTAGAGTATCCCTGAGCGCTCGAGACAGAGCTAAGGCTCCAAGAGCTCCCGGAGTTGTGCAGCAGTGAAGGTGCCCGGCCTCATCATCAGGTTCATGTTGGGCTACAGAAGAGCAGCTGTTGAGTGGACACTATAACATTACGGATGAAGGATGCATACATGTGTATATATATATATATATCTCGAAGGCTTGATTGTTTCGGTGATCACTCCCGGTCTTGCACTGCCAAGTTTGAAGAGGGTGTCGGTATGTAGGAGGAGTTCCAGTGCTTGCATCCGTGCAAAACTCGCAAATGGGTTTGGAGTCTATGGATGCACCACAAGCACCGCTGACCTTGGCGGCCCGATCGCGTAGTTGATCACTGCCAGGGACCCAGGTGCAGCCATCTTGGACACCTCCATTCCGGTTGCGTAACCCTAAATCCTAAACCCGAAGGCCCTAAACCCTAAACTTCCCTAAACCTTTTTTCAACCCTAAACTTCCCTAAACTTTACGCCTAAGTAGGTTTCGAGGTTTCAGGGGCGTTGGGTTCTTCTTTGGCGTCGGAGCTTGGGGCTTCTTTATCCACTCCTGTAGATCATCTGGCAGTAGGTGCCTCTACCTTTTTACCAAAAAGGTAGGTAGGTAGGCAGGCAGGTAGGTAGGTAGGCAGGTAGGTAAGTAGGTATCGACCTGCAGCTAGCTGTAGCTGCGGCCACCACCACTCTTCCCCGCCCAGCTTCTCAGGCGGCTTCCGTAAACGTCATCCGCCCCCTACGCGGGAGATTCCAGAGGGGGACACTTAACCAAGTGAACAGAGAGCCTGGAGGGGATGAGATGGACCGTGAAGGAGGTGCACGTGCGCCATCCGGAGAGAATTGTAGGTGGGAGGGGCGACCCGGAGTGACCCAGAAAGAAAGGGGTTGCTTCAAATCCTCCAGAAGTGGCCAAAGTCTGGGTTTCCAGCCCGGAAAAGGGGGTTTGGGCTAGAAGAGGGCGGGCGACGTGAAGTGTGTAACTGGCGAGGGAGAAAGACGAGAAAAGTGGCCACGAGCGAAAAAGGCGAACATAGATAAAAAAGAAAGAAAAAAAGCGGCAAAGGCCGGAGGCCATAATCACCAGGCAGTGCAGAGTCGGTGTTAAAAAAGTGGCAAGAGGCAGCGTAGAGACCTACATCATCGAAACTGGGTGTTTGCAAAAGAAAAGAGAGAAGAGTCATAGAGGGCCTCGACAGGAAATCCCAGCCTCACGTCCTAGGGAAGGACTGTATTCGTCCGTACACCAATCTGTCTGCCCGATACACGGATGGGAGAGAGAAAGAGAAGGAGAGGAATAGCGAGAGTTACACAGAGTGGAAGACACACGGACATCGAGAAGAGAGGAGAGGGGGAGAGAGAGAGACAGAGATGGAGATAGAGATAGATCCACATCCACGCAATCTTAAGGCACAAACCTCCTCTCATTGAAGAGCATCCGTGAATTCTCAAAGGCGTCTCGTCCCTTGGCCTCGTTCAAGAAAGGCGTCGCAGCATCCTCCAGAAAGTCCAGAACCCCCTCGATAAGGAAGACGGACGCTACCTTCGGAATAGTCCTAACTGGCGTTGCCGATTTGGTCCAAGGGAAGCCGGAGACTAAACAAGAGCACTTCACACGGGCCGCAAGTTCGTGAAACGAGAGGCCCCTGATCGCTAAATGGAGCCTGCTCGTCGAAGCCCGCCTGCACGAGGTTTCGAGCCAATTCCCCTGCGTGCCAGGATTGGGAATATGGTTTTGGGGTTCCTTTAAGGGTTCCTTAAAGGGTTCTATAAGGGCTACTATAAGTGTTTAGGGTTTAGGGGCCTTAGTGATTAGGATCTGGTTTTTGGTGGTTTGCTTTTTGTTTTTCTGAGGGAGCCTGCGACCTCTTCCACCCTCGCAAGCTTCAACTCAAACTCCAAAAGCCGTGTCGACACGCACTGAAGCGCCATTGAGTACAAGTACTATATGAGTAAAGTACCTGTTGAACCCGGAGCTCTATCCAATCAGCCGGACTACTACTACGTGTGGTATTGTTGTGGCTCCCGCATGGCAATCTCGACGAGGTATTCGGATTTGTTATAGCTGAAGCAGTGCTTTGACGCATTCGGGGCAGGTCCAGATGTCAAAGGGGTCCCGCAAATCGAGATCACTTATGTAAGCGGTATTTAGACCGTATGTTCCGAAACAAAATATGTAAATTCGGCCAGGTTTTCCTGTATGTCGTTACCTATAAAGTGGTAGTTGCATTGCATGTTCTTACATAATCTGCGAACTCCGTCAAGTTGCATTTTACCATAGAGTTCGCACACGGAGGATCTTTTGGCCACGGGCTGGTTCTCAGCAAACCCCAGGATGCGGTAAGCAAAAATCAAAACCCGAATCAGGCAGACAAGTAAGAAGATGGAGATGTTTCTGCATGTATACATATACGGAGACCTACAAGATATTCCGTGGATTACATGGTTCTTAGGTCAGAGGTTACCATCCGCCCTTAGAATCACTCCTCGTCTCCCTTTTGTTACCCTAAGGGTCCAAAGGACCCAATAATTAGATACTTTGGTTACGTAGAGTAGTTATCTAGGTTAATGTTTGGGAGAGTATATGATTATTAGGTACTTGGGCCCTTAGGGTTACTTGCTTATGTCTATCTTCGACCGACGGCCCAGCCTGCAACACGGAAGTCTGCAGAGACTGTGACGACTGGGCAGAAGGGCGTCGCCCCGAGTCGCTCGAACACCGCCGTCTTCACGGCATTCCTCGGGACGGGAAGGTAAGGGCTTGGATTGATAAACTATATTAAATATATATATATATATATATATAGTGTGTGTAAGGTCGGGGGTCCATTCAAGAATTGGTCCACAAGGGCTTGCTTGAGTCTATTTTCGCCCTTCACCCATGCTGCAACTCCAGCGGAACGAGGACTTTTTGGTCGTCGCACAACTACATAGGGCAGAAATCGGCAGAAAGATGAAGCCCCGCTTTACAGGGCCATGAAGACAAAGCGTCACCTCGGGCGTATCGATCTCGTAAGAGGCCTTCAGCTTGGAGTACCCCTGCAAGGATCTGCCGAGCTTCGGCAACATTTGGGTTTCGACTCTTTGGTGTTTTGGGCTTTGGGGCCAAATTTGGGGTGCTTCGAAGGAAGTATCGAGGCTGTGCAGCTGTCCGGTCTCGCCATTCTCCAGAAATTGCGAAGGCACTTTGCAAGCACTCAGGGATGTTGAACACGGTCCCAATGGTGACCCACAAAACAGCACGATGCGATAGCATGAGGTTCGGGTCGCAAGGTGCAGATAACTTGGGGCTGCTTGATCTAGTCCAGCTGCTTCAAGACGATAGGGTCGGGTGTCGACGCCGGCACCCAGGTTCACCATCTGCTTCTGATCCGTGAGACTACCTTGGTGCATCTGGTTCTGCAGCCTGCGCCGTACTGAGCAAAAGGATAAAGAGGGATAGACAGAAAGAGTGAGAGAGATCCCGGACTGCCGCACACCCAGGCAACTCCTAGGCACAAAAAGATTGCATCCTACCACACTAGGAACAAATTAATCTGCACCTGCAAACCAAACACTAACACCAAGACACTACGAGCATAATTAGTTCATTCTTGGGCACCGATGATGTCGTCGATAAACCTTGTTCTTACGACTGTCCACACCTCAGGCTGCCAGAACGGTGACCAGAGATACGAAGGAAGGTCTTTCATCGGCAATCCTCTGCTTCGGGTGACACGACAATCTTGACACATCTTGACCACATTAGTGATGGCAGTTTAGATGCAGATGGCGAAGCATTTGACGACACAGTGTCCATCTCCATCAACAACATCAACAGCAGACAGCTCAGAAGTGCAATTATCAAAACGATTGCATCATGATTTTCTGCCCTAATGCACATGTTCATCCTTATGCCTTTGACGACACGAACGCACCAGTGGATTTGATGGAGGACTTGACCAGGCCCCTAAGCCCTAAACCCCTTTTTTGCATCTGGTTTGCAGCGACTCAACCAGGACAGAAACAAGCAGCGATAAGCCCTAAACCCCTAAATCCCTGAACCCAAACCCTATAAACCCTAAACCCCTAAATCCCTGAACCCAAACCCTATAAACCCTAAAACCCTAAATCCCTGAACCCTATAGAGGCCCTTGATAAACTCGGCCTTGTGAAACTCCGGCCAATTCTCAAAGCCGAACTGTGCCGCAGCTTCTCCAAGTTTGTCGGACATCTCCTTGGTATCTACCGGGAGTGTTCTATAAGTATATACAACCATATATAATTATGTATGTATATGTGTATATATTACACATATGTAACTAAGTGTATACATATGTATGTATATATAGCATTAAAACTTGAATATGTATGATTAACTTGTATATCATACAGTTTGTGTACGTGTATGTATATATATATATATGTATGTATGTATGTATGTATGTATGTATGTATGTATATACATACACGTAACTCTTACATAATTGGGAACATAACTGTAGTAAACTTTTTTTATGATATGTGTGAACTGTAATATGTTTATATCTGAAACTCAAGACACTGCACCAAGCGCGCCCCTGAGCTTAAGACCCAGAGACCTGCAAAGCCCTCCGGTCATTCGATTGTTCGCAGATGTATCCCCAATGTAAGTCTCTGAAGCCGACAATGATTCTGACACGGCTCGTGGCCGTCTTTCCCTGCAAGTACTTTGGCAAAGGGATCGCTGAACAAGGCATCCTCCCGAGCAACAGCACAAGGCACTTCCATCCAATCCGACAGCACGAAGCAGGAAGGCATGATGATGTATGGGTAGTTGTCAAAATTATGGTACCTTTTGGGGTACCCTAAATTATAGGTGCCGTATTATAATAAGGACCCAAAAAAGGGACCATAATTTTGACAACCACCCGTATGTGTATATCGGACTCAGGCCCCAAGCTCCACACATACCAGCTGATGCCACGCTCACTGCTAGAAGACATGCGCTGGAAAATTGGCTCTGCGAGCTGTCCTTTCCACGGTCTGTCTCAAGGGCCCTTTCAGCCGCCACCATGAAGGCAGTTCGACCCACGACGCTCACCTCACAGAGGGCATCCGGGATCTCCCTTACTTCTTTCACAATAACCATAATTCTACCAAGACGGCAGGGTCGCTCCCTGTCACCACGCCGAAGCGCGGGAGATCCGCGAGGAGGACTCAACTTGAACACCCTGACATGTCACCAACCCATGAAACAGGCACAATCACCAACACTTCAAGAGCCAATATGCTCCCGGCCCCAGATCGCAGAAAGGGGTCGGCCTTTAAGCAAATTCGTTAGGGATTAGTAAAGTGGCTTCCTTCCAACCCTTGGCCCCGCCCCCCTGGGCCTCGGCGTTCTCGCCCAGCAGATCCACGACCTCGGGGGCTTGTTCCGTGGCCGGGGGCTACAAATCATCACCCTCTCACTCTCGCACCGAGCACAAAGGCCTATGGCTGAGGTTGTATACACAGTAGGGTTTTCCATGTGGGTGGTTGTCAAATATTATGGTCCCTTTTTGGGTCCTTATTATAATACGGCACCTATTATTTAGGGTACCCCAATAGGGCCCATAATTTTGACAACTACCCATGTGGTTTTAAGCCCCTTGCGACTCATCCCCAAAAGCGACGGCTCCGAGGTCCGAGCCTCATCCAGGTTCTTCACGGCCATAGCGCACGAATCCCGGGGGCCGATGTGGGAGTTTCCGAAAACAGGGGACCCTAATATAATACCCTAAATAGTAGGATCCGTATTATAAGGACCCCAAAATAGGGTACCCCTATTTTGGGAAACTCCCATGTCAGTGTGTTACAAAGCGCAGAGCAATGTCGACGCTGCAGTTGGCAACGCAGCAAGGCTGTTTGTGGAGGAAGCTGTCGGGCCTTTAACTCGATCAAGAAGATCTGCTGCGTCTTGGATGAGCCGTCTAATTGATGTATAATTACTTACATAGGGCCCAGAAGCCAAATGCTGCGAGAGGGTACTGCATGCCATCACTCGCCTAAACAAGCCGGAAACCAAAGAAGCATCGACGTAGCGCTTTGAAGATTGGAAAAAGCCTCGAGCCCGAGTTCCTGGCATCTTTGCCGCCCTTCTTTCCCTTGCCCTTGCCTTCAGAAGGAGCTTTGGATTTCGAGTCGATAAGGGTGCAGGTTTAGGGTCGGCTTAGAATATCCTGAACACGGTATGGATTTAGTTCCTCAAAGGGCAGAGAAGGGTTCCTATAAAGGGAACTTTCGAGGCTACTGGGGATAGGGGCTCTCTCAGATGTTCGACCGGCACATGGCACTCTCAGTAGCAAGACCAGCGCCAACATCTAGGCCGATCTCACAACATGCAGTTGAATTGACCAGCTCGCTGGCAAAAGGTGCGCGCTGGCTTCCACACCGTGCACCCACTGCTCATGTCGTATGCCGTTACCACTGCCTTCCGAATTGGATGAAAACCATCACGGATGACATGTTGGCAATGTTGGTCCTCTTCATGCTCTATCTTAGTTGTAACGTTCCTGACACCCCCCCCCCCCCCCCCCCCTCACTTCCCCCCGCGGCACCTTTGCTCGAGCCATTCAGGGACCTCGGGTTCCAGTGCTCCTCGGCACTCTTCAGTCCTTGGTGGGCTCAGGGCAGCAAGGATACCAGAGCTTCGGGACCCATGCAAAATCGAAAGGTTTCAGGTTTACGTCTCGTTTAGAAAGGTTGTTCCGCAAGTTCTCTCTTCCGGCTAGATTGTTATCGTCGCTCCGGCACTGCCCTGCCTCAATACCAGAACAGACCTAGCATATCGGGGTCCCTACAAAGTCACTTTGTCTTCGTTGCTACTATATATATATATATATACATACATACATACATACGTACATACATACATGTACAAATATAAAAATATATACATAATGAGCTCCACTAGCCTGGATCCCAAACCCTCAAGACCTGTCGGGGTTTCGACTCGGTTCTTCTCCGCGCCATTCGCGCCGCCAGTCGTTGCCAGGCGTTCCCGGTTTTGGAAAGCCCTGCAGCGACTTGTTTGCGAAGTTGGGTGTCACGGTTCGCCTCTTCCAAATCATAGGAGTATTGGCATTGCAGTTTTACTTGCTGGCTGCTCACCCTCGTTACCCCTGCAGCCCTCCTGCATTGCTTGATCCACTGGCCACTAAGTCACGAAGCAGCAAAAGCCTGACTAACTAAACACACCGAAACTTGGACCCACAGGCCTTCCCGACAGGGACACTGGCGGGGTAGTTGCCTCGAGCTGGAAGTGAGAGAGAGAGAGTCTAACTTCAGGAGGATTAACGGGGATTCCGTCCTGCACCCTATCCGGGTTTTTACCCTCAAGCCGTATTGTGACAGGACCTGCAGCGACGCCATGCCGAGCGACCTTGCCACGGCTCTGGATCAAGTCGGCCATCACCTGTCCCACGCAGCACAAACACGTTCAAAGAATGCATCCATTGATGCTTACATTGGCGCCTATATAACAGGCCCTCAACTAGACACGAGCTCAGGCATCTCCACATGCCGGGACGGCTCGTCAGCTCTGCAGCGATGCCGGCATAACGACCGGATGAAGCAGTAGGAACAGGGACCTCGCAGAAGTGTTGCCAAGGGTTCATGACTTTCGGCAAACCGATCCAATGGTCAGTGGAAGCTGAGCGGTGTAGAGATTGGGACACATCAAGACCGTCTACATCATGCCAGGTCGGATAAGCTTGCGGAGGTTACCTGGAATCAAGCATTAAGTGTGATCTGCCAAAGCTGTGTCTATCACACCCCTCCGGGTACTCGGATGCGAACTTGTCTAACGGAGCTGCCCTGCTTGGCGTCAGGGGCCGTCCAGTAGCTTCGAATGTCCTGGATGGCATGCGTTGCGACTCAGAGTTGTAACCTTTCAGAGGTGGAGGTGTGATGCTTTCCGCATACGGTGGTTGGACTCTTGATCAAACGGCTTGAAGCAGCTGACCCCGTTTCGGCGCTCAAATCACGGCTAGCTGGGCCCAACTGCGGCCCAACGAATCCGTTCTGTCAAGCTCCGAGATCTATACAAACATCAGGAACCGTCCCTGCTAGGATTGCTGAGAGTCCGGATTCTTCACCCAATCATCGTCATCTGGATTCGCGACCTGAGATTTCAGAGTGCTGTCGCAGCCACTGTTAAGTCTTCCCAAGGGGGGCAAGCTTGAATCCCTTTGAACTCTCGCAGACTCTTTCTCACACGCAGACCCGGTATTATTCGCTGCTGCGGCGCGCCCCGACCCAAGCCCTAACTTTCTGCAGAAAGAACGAACCCTACTCCTAAGCATCCCAAACCACCCTAAACGCACGAAGCGGAGGGCCATGGGTTCGTGGTTCGGAGTGATAAACCCAGACACGAACAAACAAATAGACAAAGAAACACAGGTATTGTCTAAATTACAAGCAATGTATGTGTGTCTATCTATCTGTCTGGGTGGGTGGGTGGGTACGTAGGTAAGTAGGTAGGTAGGTAGGTAGGTAGGTAGGTAGGTAGGTAGGTAGATAGGTGCTGCATACCTTACATTCATTATACATAAACACACACACACACACATACACACATACGTACATACACACATACATACATACATACATACGTACATACATACCTATTTGGCACTCGCACTCGAAGCTCGGGCGAGGCATACATACATACATACATACATACATACATACATACATGCATGCAGACGTCCTCGTACCTACATCCTCATGCACATGCATATACATACATATAGACATGCTCACAAACAAGCGCACACACACACAAACATACACATACGTTCACATGTACATATTTCGATGCATACATTGTGCCTTACATTGCATACATACGAGACTTACATGCATTGAATGCACTGCATACATTACATACCATACATGCATTAAGCTCTACCGCACATACATTACATACATCACAAGAATCACATCACAATACGTTGCATTAGACCGCAGACATGCGCAGACGATATGTACATCGTGCTGGCTAATGATCACGTGACGTCAACGGGCGAGGCACGCCCTCAAATTCGAAGGTCTGCTGCGGTGTTTGGTGTTGCCGCGGGTGGAAGGCAGGTGCTCCTGGTAAAGCTTGTTGCAGGTCAGGGGCTACAAGGACTAAGATTTGGCATTTCCATGTGGGGTGTATGTGGGGTTAGCAGGCGGCAGCTCTGAGCGTTCAAGTATTGTCAAAACATGCAAGTATACTTGCTGATGGTCTGCCGGGGTGCTCGCTTTGTTGCTACGGCTGATCATGGGAAGCTTGCACCTTCAATAGTTAACCCTGCGCCGCAATGCCCTGATCCCATTCGCCATCGGTATGCGGAGCCTGCGTTCAATTGATGTCCCGAGGAGAAGCGGCCATCGCCGGTCAGCTCAGCGACGATACCACCAGCAGCACCACCGCCGGAAGCAGCACCAGCACCGCTACCAAGCCCTAGGTTGGATTTTGGATCTTGGGGGTCCCGGGTTTTCCATGATTCCTGCTGATTGGCATTGCGAGTGTAGAGCTAGACATTTCTGGCACTACTAGCGTTGCTATGGATATCGCATCGACAGCTTCTGTCCATAAGAACTGGACATGGTATTCTACGCTACCTCTCCCCGCTTTGACAACGTCTCGTCAAATCAACAAAAATCTGCCCCGCCGCTCAAACTGCAGCTGGGTGTCTAGGCTTCTGCAGTCTGTCCGTGGGCGAGAATGTCGCCTGGAGTAGCTCGACGCAAACTGCATGCGCGTCTCGATTCGTTCCTACCTGACCTGACATTTCATGATTTGCACCATTTGCTGGGGAACCGTCACAACATTGCCTTGCTGGAGAAGATGAAATCGGTTCGAGAATTTCAACCCAGCCAGAGAAAGGTTAGCAAAGTCCCGAATGGTGATGCGGCGATGCCGGATGTTGCAGGCAGCACAAAACTAGAAAGCTTGATCATGCTTGATCCACACAGGCAACAACAACAAAGCATCGACTTGCTCTTAGAGGAGAAATTGAAAAAACTTGCAAGTGGGTCTGGCTGAACCCGTTCGGAGTCTGGTTAATGTCGAAAGGTATGTATTTCCCCGGAATTGGGACCTCCGGGCCCGTTCAGCATGCCATTTCGGGCTAGAGCTGTACTCATAAACTTCCGAAGCCTCCCTCACCCCGAACGGCAGCCCACTCGTCGAGGAGCCGCAGCTTCATGGACGGCAGGCTGCTGGGAATAGCGAGTCACCCGCGTTTCTGCCTGGTCGCGCAGGGTCTGTTGCACAGAACCGAACCAACGCAGCCTGCTGCCACAGCCCGGATACCTCAAAACGAAACCCCTAAACCCTTCTAAACCACTGTGCACCCTGAACCGCAGCAAGCTTTATATCAATGCAGCTTCTGGTGCCTGAACATATATGCTGCTTAAAGTATGCCTGAACAACACTGCTACTGTAACCTCGGAATATTACGGCAATCGTCCGTCGATCTGCCCATCTATCAACTATCTATCTCCCTACCCACCTATCTGGCCCGGGACAGCCGCTGCCTCGTGAATACGGTTGTGCAGGAAGTCCCCTAGCCCACGGGTGCCGTGTGAGAAGTCAGGCAAACCAAAGTCACCTGCGGCAGAGCGAAGGCATCATAATCATGGTTTCGACTCACACACTCGCACAGAGTTGGCATGGCTTAGGCTTTGTTGGACACTCACACTCGGACGAGACACGGTTTAGGGTTTAGGGATGTGCTTGTTTTCATCGGAAGCCTACGTTGCATTCAGACTGCTAAGACTTTCTGACGACAACTGTCCTCAAAATAGCCATGTTGCAATGTTCTAATAAAAGCTACTGTGACCATGCACTTTGCAACAGTCGCTGCCGCATCGGCAGTTGAGCAAGCCAGAAGCTGCTTTGCCAGAGCCGCATTGACATGATGTGCGGGGAATGAGCATCGAAAAGCGCAACAGTTTCCACACAATCGGTATTGCTGTAGCATACGATGCCAGGTACTATAGTACTATGGCTCCAGTAGCACAAACGAAAACACTTAACGCTTGCCTGCGTAAGCTCTGAAACCGAAAAGCCCCCAAACCCTACCGAAGCCCTTGAATTAAGCCTTGCACCCCTACCTCTAAACTGTGGAACCCTCCAGCCGAAACCCACAGCCGGCTTGCTTTAAGGAAGGGGGAAACAAGGAACCGCACTAGTTTCAAGAAGTCAGCTTAAACACCCTGCAAAACCTGCAAAGCAAGCCCTTAATGAGGAACCCCTAATGCTCAGAAACCCCGCTCAACACACATTGTAAGGACTCCTGGTTAGTCTAAAACCCTAGACCTACACCCTAAGCAAAAGGCCCCCATGAAGACCTCCTCGAGGTGGCGGAGGTGGAGGGGCACTCGGTGGAAAATACGGCGAGGCGACCTGCCCAGAATCTGAAACTCGCATCTCGGGTTTCCCGTCGCATCGACAAATCATCCCTAGTCGCCCCATGCATCCTGAACTCTGAAACCCCACTCACTACTAACAAAGCCCTGTGTGCGAGTATCAACATATAAGAGACGCCATCATAAACCTAAACTGAAAACCAACACCCCTACACCCTAACCTGTATCGTCCCAAATTCCGGGCACCTCGTTGTTGTAGCCGACCGGCTCAGGCAGGCCTAGCTAGGGCGGAAACGTTTTTGACACACGTAAAGTCTCGGAGTTTTGAATTTTTCGGGCATTTGGAATTTCTTGCGATGAGCAGGGTTAGGATGTGGGAACTTAGTTTAGTTGGGTTCCAGGCTTAATCAGGGCTGCATGTGCCTTCGGATCCTCAGCCTCTTCGCTAGGCGGACGTTCTCAGGGTCTTGGATTCAAGGGCTTACAGAGGTTGAGGGTTTTGAAGGTTTCATCTCTCGAAGCTCGGATGCTCTTGGAAGGCTGAGGCTGAGCCATGCATGAGACCGAATATTAATGTTCAGGTGAATGACATACTTGTACACATACACATTTACACGTGTGACATGATGTGAGGTGGTATGATATGATCTGATATGGTATGGTATGAGATGGGCTGGTATGATGTGATGCGATATGTTATTCTTTGACATGCTATGCTGCGGTGTGATATGAAACGATATCACATGTCACGGTATGGTCTGATGTGAGATTTCGATAACATACCCCTTATACACATGAGCGCATGGATGGCTGGATAGATGGATAGATAGATATATACATAGATAGACAGATAGATAGATCAGCTAGATACATAGTAATAGCTACTAGTAGCAATCTTCCGCAGGGTTACCAAATACATTAACGTTTTCACATGGTTCAACCACCAATCTCTCTCTTCTAGCGCAGTGACCAAAGCCTCAGACTCTTAGACATGCTAAGACCCTGAGGCCGGAGGACGGTTCCAGTTGCCCAGAGCTTGATCAGCATCACATCTTCGCGTGCCTACCAATTATAATGCCTATGCCCGACGCAACCAGATGCTCTACAAAAGAAAACGTTGCACAAGCAGTCCCTCCGCACTGTTTTCGCTCGAGATAACCTCTCAGCTCTCTTGGCTGAGGCCAGCATACTCCGTAGAGAATACCTAACTCCACAAAGTGGATGTGGATCAAAATGCCTTGGCAGGCCTCCACCCCCTTCTGAGCATATCTGCATTCCAGCCGTGCTCAAACTCAGCAGAGCTTAGCGGTACATGTGTGCGTGCGGGACGCAGCCCTTGCCATCAGAGCAGAAGCCAGGCTGGCAGTAGCAAAAGTAGTCCTGGGTGTTGCACGTCGTTGGCCCACGAGACTTGGCGCAGCTGAAGACCATGCAGGACGAGCCTTCGATCTTGTTCAGGCACACTGGGCCTGGCCTATAGGGGTTGAACCCAGGAGGAGGCATCTGCCCGTAAGGGTTGCCATACTGATGATAGTAAGGGTTGAAGGCAGGTGGTGGAGGCGGCGATGGGCCCCATTTCTCGGTGTCTGAAGCCGTTTGAGCAGTCCGAGAGCTGCTCTGCACTTCAGCCTCCGCCTCCTCGTCACCCTCCTCCAAAGCAGCAGCGAACTTCTCCACAGAGTCTTCTGCCTGTTGGGCAACCACTGCTTTCTGCTGCAAAGCGTTCAGGGCGCATTCCTCGCCCGTGGCACACTCGGCATCGGCAGCCAAGATCTTGTCCACGTCGATCATGTCTTGCGACATAGCACAGGAAAATGCTGCTACGGACAAGGCGAAAGCTAGCGCCTTCGCCATCATAGTCAGATCCGAACGCTTTTGGAAGAGGCGAAGAGGAGAGCTAAGAGAAACACGGGCTTGAGCCGTAGCCAGTTTGAATTTTGGGTATGGTGGGCTTCTGGTTCAGGAAGCTCAGGCTTTAGAAAATTTAGGATCGAGGGAGGTTCAGGACGGGGAGCGCAGGGCTCCCCGTTTCACCCTTTAGGGCTCAGGCCCCAGGAGTCCCTCCTTGGAGGAGGCGGAGGACATACTGCCTTATGCCGAAAGTCCATGACCTCAGCGTCCAAGCAAGGTGGTTCGGGAGACGTTTCGTCCAAAGTACTGCAGATGCCTCAAGCCAGGTCACGGGGGGACCACTTCTGAGGGCTCAGCTCAGCACAAGAATCTTAAATCGACCACCCTTGCGATATCCCTGCTCTCGGCCGAGCTGCCGCACTGCTGGCATCCACAAAGCAGCGACACTAAACACTACACGCGGGCCTCAAGCAAATCTACCTTAAAATGGTGGCAGCATTTGCGGGGGTTGGGGAAAGATTCCAGAAATTCAACCGGGAAGCCAATCAAGAAATATGAGCGTGACATGCATACTTCACACAGGCCTTTGCCCGCTTGATTTCGAAGTGGCGTCCAAGCCGAATAACAACGATGCAGCAAAGGTCTCTTGTCTGCTTCAAGATACACAGAATGAAGGCCACCCTTCCGAAACGTCTGCTTCTCGTGCAAGCACAACGACAAGGCAGAAGCGGCAGGAAGCAACAGAGCAAACGATTCAAATGTAAAGCTCCTAACTCATCTCAACAGCCCTGGCCCTACTCATCGTTCCCGAGACCCCAGCCCCCTGCCATCACCACCCAAGCTTTCATGTAGCATCCGAAGCTATCGCACAAACATCAAAGTTTGAATGCCAAACACGCAGTATCTGAGATCGGCATAAGGGTCGCATGGCAGCACCACCTATGAAACTAGAAGATGTTATAGTTCTTCTCGCACGTTTCCGCTGGAGAGGACCTGGTTCTAGCGGGAGGTGTGCCTCTCACAGTCCCACCGTTGTTGGGAACAACAAAAATTACAGTTGGATTGTCATGTGCAGTGATAATACATGGCGGATTCACTCCCTCTGTTTCTCTCTCTCCCTTATTATCTCTCTTTGTTTGCACACAAGCCTCACACAACAAAAGCGCGCTCACACGCAGACAGTAGGTTCCGCGCGACACTTGAGCATGAGACTCGGACGACTCAACTCGGCACGCCCACCTGTCCTAGCATAGAATCCGTAATATCGAACCATTTAATATATCGAACTCATCTATAGTCGTAAACAAAAGACAGATAGATAGGTAGACAGATAGACAGACAAACAGATAGATAGATAGATAAATAGATCGATCGATGGATGGATGGATGGATGGATGGATAGATATACACACTAATTTAAACATGAGACTGGCAAAAACACCGTGGTCCCTTCGGCATTCGTTTTCGATTCGCTCTCAGCGCTTCCACCTTCTTGATTTGCTCACTGCTTCAGCGGCAGCTGGCGGTTGCGTTGCATAGCCTGCCAGCAGCCAACAGTCCTGTCGCGCCTCTCTATGCGACAGTTGGACTTGGACCAGCTCGTGTCGCTGCTCAGGTCGGCTCTAGGGTCTCGATATTAAGGGTTAAAGACTGTGGGTCTGGACCCTGGCCCGGGCCAAACCTGCGGCTGTCCGTGCGGCGGAGGCATCCACCTGGGATGCAAGACACGGATACCAGCCGCCATCGTATGCATCAGAGTGGTTTCAAATATTCTGCCCTGCAAGAACTGAGGCGTGTAGCAGTGTAGCATGCTCAGCACCGCACTTCGCCACAGTACCATGCTTAGTTCAAACGGGGGGCTGTGCATGCATCGACAGCCTTGGAGGCAGCTGATGCAAGGATGTCGCCTCAGGGCCCATTATACTATAATAATTATTATAAGGAACCCCCAAAAATTGTATCGGCAAGTATTTAGGCTCCTATATTATGAACACCTAGGTTGCAGAAAGACTGGTTGGCTGATGCAGAAATGGCGTGGGCAAACGGCAAGCGGCTACTGAAGGCCTGCGAACGACTTCTGCACATCCACTCTCAGATCCACGGCAACTTCCCCTTACCTTTCTACTAACATGACCACCAAAATGCAAGGCCTCGTGAAGAAAGGGATCCAGCCACTCGAAACCGGAAGGTCGCCATGAACTCATCACCAAGGTGCCAAAGGCAAAGCCCAGGTCTCTCTTCTCTGTGCGCATGCCGGGAGGGTACTTGCTCAAGGGCAGATCCTCCTCCTCGGTCAAGACGATTCGCACTTTTTTTGGGATAGGAATCCAAGAGTCTCCAGACCTTAACCCGGCAGAACACCTGCAAACTGTGCAGGTGTGTTCCTTTTGAGACTGCTGCGGCTGCGAAAAGCCGACAGCTGGGATAGAAACTGTGCAGGTGCACCATGGTACACAAGTATATCTCCACTACTATTGTCATGGGGCGAGTCTGGGTCCGCACTCTCATAGGCCCTGCGAAAACGTGGCAAGCAAAAAGCAACGAGCATGCGTATGTTTAAGCGGTGAATGATGCAAGCAGCTGGAACATATACTTACTCGAACTTGACCCATTAATTCCGGTCCGGGCCGCCGTGTTTCCCAGCAGCTGCATCACTTCTGCGGTGGTACCTTTTCCTGGCGGAATTGTTGTCGCCACCAGACCCACAGTTGTTGCATCCTGTTCTGCAGGAAGCGATGCTCCCGTCTTGCCTAGCACTGGAGCCAGTCCTCAGCCATCGCCCCGGGCCCTAGTACGTGATTCTTGGAGGCGCAAAAGGCCCACAACTCACGATGCGGAGACTAGACAAAGAGGGCCCAAAATCTGAACCCAGCCCGTCCAGCCTTCATCCCGCCAGCCCTTCTGGCCAAACTCCGCCTGTCCTGGATGGCAGAGGGACCAAAAACTCTCAAGCCACATGACGGTTGAGAACTTTGTGCGGCATGGAGCCTGAGCCCTGAAGTTCGAAGAGCCTCTGACTGCAGGTTGCCAGTGCAGCCTCCAAACTTTTCCACAAAGCTATATACCCACAAACCCTCAACTTCTTCGGAGTCACGTGAGAAGAACTTCTTAAACTACGAAGCCAAACAGCTGGGTGCTCTTCAATCCAAGAAGCCCTAAGCTTTCCGAGCCCCGGAGCAAAACCTTTGCCTGCGAAGCCGGGGCTTGCCGTTCGCCAGGCGGATGGAAGCATCGCTTCAAGAATCCTGAGGCCCCAAACCCTAAGCATGAATGAAGGATCTCCGCACACATCATGTATATCATCAGTGCAACATTGTATATCACGATGCATGACAATAGAATCACTGAGGAAGGTTCGAGGTTCACTCGCGAAGTTCTTGAAAGAAGGAACGGCTTCCGCGGGCCGGGGTGTCTTCAACCCTGTACTTATAGGCTAACTTACTGGCCCAAGATCTACAGCAGCAGTAGCATTAGCAGAAACTCCTGTCAATGTTTCTTCACCATTCTGCCTTTGGACTTCTTCCGCTGACCTTCAGCCCATCACGGTACAGAGGAGGAGGAGGAGGTCGTCTTAGCGAGCATTCTTCTGGATCCTCCTGTCCGCTGCAAGCCCAATAGGCCAATGGGCCTTCCCAAAGGGCGGCCGTCATCCAGACCGAGGGCCCTCACCAGCACCGCTGCGGCTAGGGCACCTCCACAGAAAGAAATCGGTCGATGCTTCGCACTATATCATGAAGACGTTTGTGGTTTTCGAACTGTTGAAGTAGTTCTTTGGATTTCCGGCTGGGTTTCAAGCCCTGGAAATTGCAGCCCTTGACTGCCCTTGTAATTCAAAATCGATGGGTCGGAGTTTGGTGTACTTGGTTTACGGCTTGCTGGATGTTGGGCATCGTTCGACAAGCTGTTAACCTCATGATGATCGAACAAGCCTGCTTTTCCACTGCTTGCTGAAAGTGGTGTTACTGTTCAAGCCCGATCGCCTGGTCGAAAGCCTGCCCATACTCATGATCAAACTCCGAAGCCACAAACATGAGTACAACATCTCTACCATATATATATATATACAAATAGAAATAAAAGTATATGTGTACACATATATATATATATATATGGTACTTAGCCGACCGAAAGCGCCTGCAGTGATGTATATATCTATATACATATATAGCGACAGCGAGAGAGAGATGGAGAGAAAGAGCGTGTGTGATTGCTTATCTAACTTGACTTTTCTGATGTATATCATTAGTTTAGTTCAACGATCCATACTTGTCAGGACTTCCATAAGTGACGTAAACCCGACACCTGCACCCAGACCCGACCCCAATCTTCAGACAGCTCAAATAGACTCAAAGCCGAGCAAGGTGGCTATGCGCTAGCTGGTCGTCGGACTTTTCATTTTTGAAAGGGCTCTATCTTGCCGGACCATGCTGATAATGACGTAGCTAAGCCAACATTCATGAAGCTATGTCTTCACCGAGTTCCTCAGAACTAACGATCCGCCACGACAGGATGAAATTGGCAAAGCTCCCCCTGCAAGGCAACCCTGACAAAGCAGGAGTAAATTGTAGGCACCTGCCAGTGCAGAGCCGTGGCCCATGTCATCCTCCCCCAACCATCACATGACATGGACTTGATTTGACATCGTCTTGGAAAGCTCTGGTCACAAGCCAACAGCCAACGGCCATTACTTCAGGGCTCTCGTTCGGAAGGGTGCAGGAACGTACCGAGTGTATCATCAAAGTGACCAGCAGATGGAAAGCCTCGCTGACATTCCCACCCGAAGCCAAAAAGGCAAAACCTGGACAAGCCCTAAACATCCCAACCGTTGCGGTCGTCAAGGCCAAGGCATCCACGATATGTTCCACAAGCAAAACACATTTTCCAAATGAAATAATAGACCTACAGTATGCAGGCTTCCTTCTGGGTCGGGCACTTCCGTCAGCTTCTCTCAACCCCTCGCCTTCCACAAGGCCGGATAGATCCGGTCGTTCTCTGCGCGTGCGGCCCGGACATGCAGAAATGCGTGACCCACCCTGGCGGGTGTCACCGCCTGGCGAAAGCAAGGTAGGGCTGCCATAAACGATGACTCCATCTGGCTCTGCCAACATGGTCTGAAGATTATACAGAATTTAGTTGTACGAATTCTGCAGGCTAGCATTTCACGTCTACATCCAGCAGGCAAAGCGAGGAGCACTGCATGTTACAACATGTCAGCATGTGCACATGCATGTTTCAGAGAGACGGCGATCCACACGAATTTCGATTTTAGCTATGCCGTGCCACATATTATCGAAGTCTCTCGGCCAACGACACTTGACACAGGGAGAAATCCTGTCGGTGCTGCCGCCAGCCCTGCAGACAGAAGTGCTGCAGTGTACTCCTGCGCCCACCAGGATACACGACACGTCCTCTCCGATATTCTCCGACATTCAAGTCGGGCCGAAGAAGTCACGTAAGGATCTCAAGGCTTGGCAATATGATTCTCGGCTCTCCTCAACGGAACTGTACCATGAGGCTCCCTTCTGGGACGGAATGCAGGGGAGAAGAATGATCTAATGACAAAAGCAGTAAGATGAGAACTGAACCTGCCTCTTCGTATCATAGTGTAGTTGTCATCGACTGATGATTGACTTTGTTTCCCAAACGTTGCGCTCAGTCACTCAGTTTGCTGTAGCAAAGCCAGCGGCAGTATAGTTTGAGTTGTACTTTGCTGCAGCCGTGGCACTGGAAATAAAGTACTACAAAAAATCAAACGAAAACAAGTGGCTATTGAGCCATTGCTCTTCACGGCTACTCCAACCATCGTCCAATACCAACTCCCTGCACCAATCGTCATCAACTTACATGTGTGATCTGAAGCTGGGCGGTGTGTAAAGCTACGAAACACCGGAATCTAAGCAGCAACAACTTTATCGGACATGCCAACTCATCGGTTCTTGGTTGGAGACTCAATGAAACAGATACTGAGAGCGCAATCCCTGCCCCGCACGCAGGCACCTGCGATCCAAAGGTGATGCGTCCTCCAGGCTCTTGTTGAGCTGCTCCACCTCGTTTTCCTCTGGCCAGGGGCCGGACCTCAACAGGCACTTGACTGAGACTCTCCTATGAGACTTGGCCTGCCAGATGAGAAGCCCAATCTGCAAGCCCAACACACATGACACGCAACCCTGGCGGCAGCAACCGGGAAGATTCTCCTAAAATGTCAGCCCCAAATCTGGCTCTCAACAGTCGGTGCTTCGCTGAGCTACTGTAAACAGACAAGTAGTAGTAATAGTAGTAGTAGTAACAGCAGCACTAGCAGCAGCAGTAGCAGTAGCAGTAGTAGCTGGAAGTAGAAGCCTAGGAACGGTTCCGCCACGACTGTCAGCAAGGGTTTGCGCTTTTACCTTTACGGCCCCGGTACTACTGAAGATACTGGTCGATCCACGGCAAACAACACGGCGAAATGTCCAAAGCTCCACGCGTGAAAGCGATATAGTTCGTGAAAGCAGCCCTGGCTACGATTCCGTGTCCCCGAAACCATGGGTCCTTGGAAACAGCCATGCCAACCAGCCAAACTAGAGCCTCAACCTTAAATTAAAGTTCCCAGCGCCCTCAACCCCTAAGCTCCAAGCCTACCCTATAGTTCAATCTCCCTGAAACAGAAGCCATAACTGGCATGCGGCCAGGTCTGGTAGAGAATCACATTCGACACCGAGATTTCCTTCAGCAGAGCCGCGTAGTTGTGGCGAAGCACCTCCTTCGGACGGATTGTGTAACAATTCTCCGGACATACATGTGGGGGCTTCCAGGCATGTACATATATATATATATATATCTGTATATATATTCATATACATGTATACATGTATATATGTATATGTACCTGCTACCCCCCGTCATGTACCCACGCCTTGTGCTTGAAGCATGTGCGAAAGCTCATGTAAATGTTTATGTTACCTTTCTGTGGTCGCATAACTGCTCATTGCTTGCAGCGTGCTCAATACACACGAGAAAGTGAATGTGACCCATATACGTATGCGCATATCTCCGTTGTTGTTGGCAGCAATAGACTGACTTTGCATGTGTTGGCGAGCTTGAGCACACGAACTGTGTTCCTCAAACTGCAAGGTGAATTGGTGTCCTACGACACAATATTTTTCACACACCGGTACACGGGTCACCGCATCCTACTCAAAGGTCAGCATTTCGATTCCAGTACTCATAGGGCCGACCTGAGCTTTGCTCGGAGTAGCGAAGTGCCCACTTGTGTATGCTGGTTCACAAGGACGCGCTCATTGAGCAATCGCCAGCAGCGATCGATGATCTGTTTGCCGGAGTTGACCTTGAGGGTCGTCCCTTGGTGACGGGCAGCTTGTGGGTGACGATCCGCAAATAGTGGGGGCGTTGCCACTGCCACATCCCATTGCCCGTTGACCTTCAAGGTTTTTGCAGTTAACAATCTTGTCGTGCAGCGGCCCAGGAAGCTTGAGCTTGTGGCTGTTGGCGGAGTCTGTGTGCAGGATCACTTGGCGATCCCGCAGCAACAGCAGTGTCAAGGGGCCTTCCACTCAATCTTCCTGATGGCGCCAGCCGGGGGCACGCTTCACGCTGATCTCGGCCTGCCATTTGCGACGAATCAAGGTCTCGGGGTGTGCCCGCCCACTGCCCCCACATCATCACACAGCCTCTGGAGTGGATCAAGTGTTTGAACTCCACAATCTTGAGATATGTCGAATCTGTGCAAAGGTAGCCTCATCAGCCTCGATGTCCTTCCAAGATTTCCAACCCGGAACACGATCTCCTTTTCCTTCTTCTCGACATAGTCCTGCCTCACCTTATAGATCTCCTGCCCCATGAAGGTGGGTCTTGCCCTGGGGCATCCTGCACACCGATATTTGAAGCAACCGCGGTGAACGAACTGCAGCTTGGACAAAGTGCCTTTGGAGCAAGTCGGGCAGGTCTTGCGGTCTTGCCCTCCCATGTTGGGATGAACTTGTCGGCGATGAGGCGATGATCAAGTGTCCTTTTCCACCTGATTCCGTCTTTCCGCTGCCCACGAGGAACCACAGCACACTTCTCACGAACATACTTGACATCCTTCCGAGTAATGCATTTCTGGGCGTCGGGTCGCTTCTGGACCGACCTGAGCTTGCCCTTCTTCGGCACGACGTTAATTTTTGACAACGCTCTTGCCCATAGCTGTCCACTGGAATAAAAGGGACTGTGACCATAAGGTTGGCTGTGCTCAAAGCATGCTGTGCTCAGGAGAAAGGCACTCTAGAGGGAAGGCATACACTCACGAAGCTAGCACCAGTCACAAGTAAGTTGCAATACAGAAGCCGTATAAATGCACGGCTATGTGCCGCTTTTCCTTCCTGTACTTGCTTGCGATGTGGCTTATAGTGCCCGAGCCCGGGGGAAAACCTCATTTTCAGACTAATGACTAGAAGCAAAGGCAGCTGCAAGTAGATCAGAGCTACAAAACCCAGTGCACGGCTCAGCTGCGAAACGCCCTGGCGGCCTCCTCGTTTGCATCTTGCTGAGCATCCATCTCTTCACGAGGCGCAGTTGTTAATGCTGAGCATTCTACACGATCGGCACAAGATCTGAAGTGTTGGTCGTGTAGATGCTCTTGGAAGCATCAGATTGCTTGCGCAGCTGAAGCCGGAGATTGGAGATGCTGCTTTTTGTCTCATTGCAGTATTCCACGCACTGCTTCTGACCCATCTCCTTCATGCGCTTGAAGGATTTCTGGATCATCTCTTGCTCCCGCTGCACTGCCTCATCAGAGTCGTCGCTTCTCTTGGTGGAGCCAATTCTGTAGTCACCGAAGAAACGCTTGCCGTTAGTTGCCATGGCTGGCCAAAACATCCAAGTGAATCATGCTGAACAATGCGATGGATCATTCCGTCAGAGGCCTCAGTGGGAAGTCGGAGGTACAGAGCATGCTCGCCGTAGACAAAGGCGATGGCTCGCTTTAGAACTGCCATGACATCGGCGTCTGTCTCGCCCACGAAAGTATGTCGAAGAAGTTTCAACATCTCCTCCGGAGTGATGGACTTCCTGGTGTCTGGCTCTGGCTCATCTGGTGGTGGCCGGCGTATGCTCTCACCTGGTATCGCACCAGCTTAATGTCGCTGTACCTCCCGGAGCAAGTCTGGTCTTGCTCGGCCGTGAGGTAGGACTTCAGGACGGCAAAATAGCCCAAATCATGCATATCAAGGCCGGAGTCTTCCCCAACCAGGCCAAATCACCATGATGATGCCATGAACCACAAGAAGAGCATATATCGGCGGCAGCAACACGGTAGACATGAAATCTTTCACGCTGTAGGTGCGCGGAGGGTAATGGGACAGTCGCTGCACGCCGGCGAGCCCACCATGCCCCGCAAGTTTGGACTCTGGCCAACCCTCTATTGGAGTACCCGGCTGATCGCATGCTGGCCCATGGCGCAGAATGTGTCATACTGTGTCTTCTCTGGTTCCTTTCTTGAGATCCGCACGGCACTTGTCAGGCGACATATAGAGACCTAAGAGAGCAACCTCCCATCTGCGGATGTTGGCTTACAGTGCAAGCTCAGTGCATTGTCTTGTTCACGCTGCTCTTGCCTTAACGGAAGACGAAATCATAGGCGTTTCCTGTGCGTAGCTTGGAGACATGCTGGCGGAGAACGGAGACCTTATCTGGGAAGTGAGAAATTCATTGTCTTGTGCTCTAGGTTTTGAATCACCACACCTGTTGTCGCGGTTGGAATGACTCTGCTCTCCTAAGCACGGCATTTCGGCACACAGCCCACCTTGTGGTCACAGTCCCCTCTATTCAACTCTATTCCAGTATCAACAAATTCGTGCCAAAGAAGGGCAAGCTCAGATCGGTCCAGAAGCGACCCGCCGCCAAGAAATCTACTACTTGGAAGGATGGCAAATATTTTCGTGAGAAGAGTGCTGTGGGTGTGGACCGGACATGGGGAAGAAAATCTGCAAGCCGAGGCAGGACTATGTCGAGAAGAAGAAATGGAGATCGTGTTCCGAGATGGGATATCTTGGAAGGACATCGCGGCTGGTGAAGCTACCTTTGACAAACTCGACATGTCTGAGGATTGTGGAGCTCAAACACTTGAGATCAATCCTAAGACTGCGTGATGACGTGGGAGCAGTGGGCGGGCACACCCCGAGACCTTGATTCGTCGCAACTGGCAGCCCAAGATCACTGTGAAGCGTGCCCCCGGGCCTGGCGCCATCAGGAAGATGAAGGGAAGGCTTTTGGCAACGAGCTGTTGCGGGATCGCCAAGTGATCCTGCACACAGGCTCCGCCAACAGCTACAAGCCCAAGCTTCCTGGGCCGCTGCACGACAAGATTGTTAACTGCAAAAACCTTGAATGTCAACGGGCAATGCCCCCACTGTGCAGATCGTCACCCGCAAGAGGCCCGTCACCAAGGGGATGACCCTCAAGGCCTCAAGGTCAACTCCAGCACACACAGCTCATCGACCGCCGCTGGCGATTTCTCAAGGAGCACGTCCTTGTGAACCAGCATACACAAGTGTGCAGTTCGCTACTCCGAGCAAAGCTCAGGTCGGCCCATGTCGGCCCAGTATGACTTCTGGACTCGAAATGCTGACCCTTGAGTAGGATTCGGTGACCCGTGTACCGGTGTGTGAAAAATATTGTGTCTTAGGACACCAATTCACCTGGGAGTTTGGGGCCTCCATCAAAGGAAAACAGCTCGTGTGTTCAAGCTCTGCTGCTTCATTCGCCAACACATGCAAAGTCAGTCAGTTGCTGCCAGCAACCACGTAAATATGCGCGTACCTATATGGGCGTATGTATGAAGCACACTGCAAACAATGAGCAGTTATGCAACCACACAAGCAAAAAATAATAGCTTTCGCACACGATTCAACAACAAGGCGTGGGTACATGGGGGGGGGGGGGCGTACCGTATGTACATGTGTACATGAATACATATATATATATATATGTGTGCAGGCATGCTTGTGTTTGTGTGGGTCAAGCTTTTTCTCTAGGTGCTTATCTATTCCTGTGTATTTGTGTACTTGATTGCAATTGTAGTCATTCCTTACTTATGAATTATGTATGTATACACACAATTGTCTTTTCATGTGTATATCTTCACATGTACATATATGCACTTATATATATATATACATACATACTTCCGATTGCAAGTCTCCGAGGTGGATGTGTGTATCTGTGATTGTCTATGCATGTATACGAACCGTATACATTCACGCCAAGAGAGAGAAAGAGAGAGAGAGAGAGAAAGAGAGAGAGAGAGAGAGACTGGGCGGCTAGGTGTATGCTTACATGCATCTAACGTTTATGTATGTATACGCGAACAAGAAAATGACAAATATTTTGCTGACACAGAAAGGCTGTCTTTGGGGTCTGCTTTGGCACATATATATATATATATTGCATGTATGTATGTGCGTGAGCATGTACGTATATGTATATGTATATGTATACATTTGCATTTCGCACAGCCGAGTAGCAGTTAACGCGAAGCGCTGGCTTTCTTCCGTGCCCTGGGCTCGCAAGTGTGTGAATTCGAGGGGAGGGATATGTATATAAATTGCGAGATCCGTCCTGCCTCTGCCTGACAGGGTTTCCTTCGACCGATTTCTAAGATGGTACAACTGATACAGGCATACACCTGAAAGGCATGAGATAACATCCTTTCAACAAAGCAACCGATAGCCGCCATAGCCTTCATGCACTGAACACAATCGCGAATGCGAATGACGGTGACGTGGCTGCTTTTATTCGAGGCATGATCATGTTCGTTTTCTCTTTCGGACTGGTCTTGTTCTGTGGAGCTTCTTGCTGCCACTATTGTCTCTCAATGTGCCAATGTGCGAAATGCTGTTCACACAAGCAGGAAGCAGACTGAAGGCATTCCCACAGATGGTTTCACCATTGCCCAGGCAACACTAGTCGTCCCTTCATCAAGAAGAAGACAAGAAACTGCATCCATGGAAACGGAATCTCATCTGCCTCAAACTGCACTCTCTGAATCGGGGTGCCTTGCCAACCTGCAGTACCACAACATCCCAGCTTGCAGCGCCATTTTTGCCTCACGTACTTCGAAGCAGGGACATAATGATTCTTGCTTTTCTCTAGTTATTGAAATAACTACTAAGCAATGTTTTAGTTATTAATAGAATATTGCTTTGTCATCTTCCAACGAGGGAGGTTCACGAGGCCTTTAGACGCTTTGCAAAGTGCGCATTTTCTGAAGGGCAGTGACATTGCGGTTTCTGCGTATTAGGCATGCTGCGGGCAATGGCTAGGGGTTCCCGCGAAGCTTATGATGCCGGCTGCACCCATAACATCTTCGTAGGTAAGCAGCTCCCAAGAATGGCAATGAGAACTGTCATTACGCCTGGCCACAGTAAACCTCAAGATGCTGAAAATTCCAAACAAGATGACAAGCGCTTGTATTTCTTACAACCGGCTTTTTAGGGCATGAAGAGATCCAGCAGCAACCTGCACAGCTTTTTCAGGCCCCCACGCCGGCTGGTGACGAAGCTGTTGAACTCCTCCGGCGCGATTTGCTATGGGGCGCTATCAGCAGACAAAATGTCTGCATCAACACTTCACAGCATGCGACGAACACCCAAACGACTCGTTGACTCGTCCTCCCACAGGTCCAGCAGGTCTGCTCCTCCCTGTGTGACGCTGTCCGTGGACCTGTGTTGTCACCCTGTCGAAGAATTTCGCGAGGGTCTGGAATTGTTCAATTGGAGCACACATCGCATGGTGTGCAAAAACTGTATACTGTATACTGCACAAGTACAAGCGCATGCACGCGTGCATGCATGGCTGCGTCGTCCGGAAGCTCGATAGGCAAGTAGGCAGGAGGCAGGTAGGTAGGTAGGTAGG